CGGGGACCCCTCACCTGGCGCTGAGACACGGCCCCTCTGGGGTGGGGTGCGGGGACTGCGTATACGGGGACCCCTCGCCTGGCACTGGAGGACACGGCCCCTCTGGGGTGGGGTGCGGGGACTGCGTATACGGGGACCCCTCACCTGGCACTGAGACACGGCCCCTCTGGGGTGGGGTGCGGGGACTGCGTATACGGGGACCCCTCGCCTGGCACTGAGACACAGCCCCTCTGGGGTGGGGCGCTGGGGCTGAATATACGGGGACCCCTCGCTGGATGCTGGGACGCAGAACCTCTGGGGTGGGGTGCGGGGGCTGCGTATACGGGGACCCCTCGCCTGGCACTGAGACACGGCCCCTCTGGGGTGGGACACTGGGGCTGAATATATGGGGACCCCTCGCCGGGCGCTGGGACGCAGCCCCTCTGGGGTGGGACGCGGGGGCTGCATATATGGGGACCCCTCATCCTGGTGCTGAGACGCGGCCCCTCTGGGGTGGGGCGCTGGGGCTGGGTAGACGGGGACCATTTGCTGGGCGCTGGGACGCGGCCCCTGGGATGTGGCCCCTCTGGGGTGGGACGCGGGGGCTGCGTATATGGGGACCCCTCGCCGGGCGCTGGGACGCGGCCCCTCTGGGGTGGGACGGTTTACAGGGGGCCCCTCGCCCGGTGTTGACTGTGAGGGAAGCGCCCCCCCCGCTGGGACCCCATCCCATTCCCTACAGCTGAGGCCCCCTAGTGGGAGCCTGTCCCAGCCCCCCGCGGTTGCCCCCCACCCCCCCAGGCCCAGGCAGGGGCCTAGGCAACCGGCAGTGCCAGCAGAAGCGGACCCGTCGCCAGGGAGATGACAATGGGTGATCCATAGCAACCGTTTCCATGGTGCGCCCATGAGCAGAGAGGGGATAGATTTGGGGGGCGGGAGCCCCCCCAGTGCCCGGGGCAAGAATGGGGCCCACCCCCTGCCTGTGCGGGAGGGGGGGGTCAGAGACAGGGCCCAAGCGAGGGGGAGAGGGCACATGACAGACGGGGGGCCGGGGCCCAGGGGGAAGGGAGGCAGGCGCCCGCAGGGGGCACAGCTCCCTGCACTGCGGCTGCCCCCCCCAACCCCAGATCAAAGGGCCCGGCGGTGGGAGGGGGGTTCGGCTGACGCTGGCTCCGTGCCCTGAATTCTCAGCTAAGGGGGGGGGGTGACTTTGTTCCAGATCCTGCTGAGTTCGGGATTCATCCAGTTCCGCTAATGACCCCCCCCAGGGAACGGGGGGAGGGGAGAAGGGGGAAGGGGAGCGGGGAATGGGTGGGGGAGGGGAGAAAGGAGCTGTAAGGGGGGGGAGATATAAGGACAGAAGAA